TAATCCAGCTACACATATGGACACTGACTAGAAGCTTGGGAACTAGAAGAGATTAAGCAATGTCAAACAAGACCAAGAAGTAAGCAACTATTAGATGGATCAATTATATAGAGATAGAAATAGATATGGAAGTATGTTTGCAGTGATGAGTTTCCTATATTTCTTCCATCACTGATTATGATATCAATGGTTATGATCAATGATAGCAAAGGTTCCCCACTGGTTGTTATTTTCTAAGTGTCTCTAAGTTTGGTTTATTCACTTAACCCTGCCCACACCTCTGCTAGTGATCCCCGATTATTCATTTTTTATTTGAACTAAGGTGAATGTTTCCTGCTAGGATCTAAACCGTGACAGCCTTGTTTCCTTACAGCATTAGGAAAGGTTGCTGAAAGTTCATGTAGTCTTGGGAGTAGGAGCATACAGCAGAGAGATGGGGAAGGGTCATGAGAAACCATCTGACCCCTGAAAGAAGCTTCAATTTCTTATGACATTTCCATTCCCAAGTGGTATGTCTATGATTTTCCACCTTATTCTGTGATGTCTCTGTATCCTTGCAACCCCCACTCTCATCCTTCCACTACAGCCATATGTACACAAATATTTTTTGTTGATGGATATTTACTCTCTGTGTTTGTAATTTCTTATGCTTAGAATCCTCTTTCACCTTTTCATATTTAATGTTCAGAACACAAACACATCTCCGAAAACAAAGAGATCAAGTTCTCAGAATCAGCATCACAAAGATCATCAATTTGTCTATGCCAAGCTACATTCCATATTCAGCACGTGCAAAATTGGCACTTTCATGAAAGAAAGCAGAGTAATAAGACGACTAGATAACAGCAGAGCCCCTTCCTAATCAGTATAGATACCCAGGTATTTCAGATCCTTCTGAGCTGTGGCCAGATGCTGACATACCTGAGCAACGACATTCTCGCCCCATCCAGATGTCTAGGCCTTACTTCTCAGATACGATCTCCTTCCTCTCTGTGCTCATAGATCACAGAACACAAGAATGGATTGTGCTGGGGAACTATCTACTCCAGCTCCTTCATTTCACAAATGAGGAAAATAAGGCCCTAAAATGCTGTGGTGGGTAAGCAGGTGCAATACTTAAGGGCTAGGATCACAGAGTCCGGCTTCTTTGCAGTTTGAAACAGGGTTCCATCACTTAACTGCAAACTTGGGCAAGTTACTTCACCTGTCTGTGCTTACGTTTTCACATCTGTATAATGAGCATAATAATAGTATCAACCACAGGGTTGTTGTGAAGATTAAATGAGAAAATATCTATAAAGGGCTTTACAACACACACCTATAATCAGTAAATGGGTTACGGATATTAAGAGGAAAATTAAGTCATATATTTTCCTGCACAATTAACCTTTAACAATTCTGCAGAAAAGATATTCTTCTTTACAGATGATGAAACCGAGGCTCACAGAATTCAAGAAACTTGGCCAAAGTCACATCGTTCTTGCTCAGTTGAAAAGACTCAAATCCAAATTTCCCTGGGCCTAAAACCCATACTGCTCACTCACACTCTCCCACATTGTGACCTCTTTATTCTGGACAGTAAACTTGTCAGCTCCTCCCATGGTCCTTCCCAATGTTCAGCCAACACTCCTGAGGTTCATTTTCCTGAGATTACTGTTGACTCTTCTCTCCCCTCTGTTTCAAATATCCACTTAAACAAGCACAACCACATACTCTCTAACCCTTTATTTGCCTTATTTTTCTTCTTACCACTTATTGCTACCTGACATCATATTATACATTTATTTGCTTATTTTCCTTCTTCTCCACGGAGATTATAAACTCCATGTAAGTAAGGACTTTTGTCAGTTTTGTCCATTGCTGTATCCATGTATCCATAGCAGGTAAAATGCAGTCTAGTACATGATAGGTATTCAAAAATATTTTTGATGAAATATGACTGACTGACTGAATGAATGAATAAAATTCTGTCTCTCAACACATACTGTACAATAAAAACACTTAACAAGAATGCTCCACATCTCTATTGCTTTCCTTTCCAGGCCCATAGTCACAACCATATACCAGGGCATAAAACTCACACACCAGAAATATCCCCTTTATTGGGCTCTGCCATTTAAAGTCATTTTCCATATCAAGTCATTGTACACAGAGTGGTAAAAACACTTCCTGCCATTTTGATTATGCTCCATTTCTACTTAAAAACTTACTGTGTTTGACATTTGCCAGCACACTTCAAATCTAACCTGGCATTCCTGGCTCTTTACTACCTTACCTATTTTGTTTTAGAACTAGCTCTTCTCATTTCCTGGTATGTTTCAAATTCTAATTATTCATAATTATTGCCTGTTTCATACTGAACATAACTATACAGATTTGAATTTGCCTAAAGAAAGCTTCCACTTCTTCCTATCACGTAGCCACTTAAGTTCAAACCAATTCTCTAAAGAGCTGGGTCCCCATCAGATCATTACAAATCATTTGGTTTTTATTTCTGCATAGTACTCTGAAAAAGAAAATTAATTGTCCCAGTACTTACCTTCCAGGTTCTTAAAAATTTAATACAAATAATGATGGTGTAAGAAGTTAGTTACATTGGGACACAAAACATACATAAGTAACCAATTCATGAGTTGATGCCATGAGAAGTGAGGAGATTTTGAGAGTGGAGTCAAACCCATCTTTTTACCACCTAGGTGTGCAACAGTGAGTGTCCTAGTTGGGGTTTTACTGTTTGCTGTTTCTTTTTACTTTGAATCCTCTTCTACTTTTTGTATTAAAATTGCATTTCTCCCTAAACGGTTTCCCAAATTCCAACTCCACTCAGGCTTGGAGATTTCCATTTCTCAGGTAGCTCACAAAACAAAGGTACTCAGTATAGCTTTGTGAGTGTGTGTAAGTGCTTATTTGTGTGTGTGTTGCCAGGGTGTTGGAAATTTACACTGGAAACTTTCAAGCAGGTAATATATACCTACTACATCCTCAAACAACCTATGATCAAGTTGTTACAGGCCATAACTATTAGATGATAGTTTAACTTTAGTTTTCTAAAAATGTTTATGTGGTAGGTATATACTTACACTATGCATAATATATTTGCATAGATAATACACTAAAAAGTAATAGAACCTCTTGTTAACAATAGTTACCTCAACTTGTCTAAATTTTCCAAATTTTCTATAATGATCAGGGATTGCTTTTGTAATTGGAAATAATATTATTTAAAAAGAAACGTATTTCCAATCCAGCACATAGTTGACTGTAAGGATACTAATAAGCTTTTCTCCGAGGATTTTTTTTTCCTCTTCAGATCCCTGAGCAAATTACCATTAGTTTGTAATTTAACTCAATATCTGTTTTTTGCAGATTTAACAAAACTTCAATCCTGACCTCCAAAGTTTGCATATATATGCACATGCCCTGTGGCTCCATCTTTATCACATACCAACCATAAGTCATGAGCAGGAAGCATTACTTGATTGAGCCTTACAGACCAAAGTCTATAAGGCATTATGCAGAACAGGAAGGAACTACTGGGAGGAAAATTCTGATTAAGCAGCTCGGCTTTGAGAACCTTAAAAACTTCATAAGGCAACTACGGAAAGTAAACCCAGGTAATCAAGCAAGAATGGGTTAATACCTCAACATATCTAAATCCATGTTCTTTATAATAATAACGCCACCTCAAAATTAAGTACTTAATCTGTGCTAGCCTCCAAGTCAAGTCATGGTCACAATATTGTGACAATAGCATTGTGAGGAAGGTACTATTTTTACGCCCATTATAAAGGTGGGTTTAGAATTCCACAGTGATTAACAGAGTTGCCTAAGGTCACACAGGTAGGACATACCAAAACTAGAATTCACACCACTGTGTCACTGACTCCAGATCCCAGTTCTCTTCTTTACCCCCAGCTGGTCCCTACATGGTAATCCTGCCACTGACAGGAAACTCAGAGCACCAGGGCCAGGAATGCAAGGCAGGAAGCCAATCAGTGTTGTAGAATTTTTTATCCAGTGATGGGGCTCAGGACACACTACCCCAAAATGCGGCATCTTGGCAAATTGAGTATCTTAAGCTGAAGAAGTTTGAGAAAATGGCAGAAGCAGGAAGGTCATTCTGACCTCCCCACCTTGCCCTTCTTCCCTAAAAGCGGGAGATAAAGCTCCCATGGGAAAGGCACTCTCCTGTGCCAGGGGGAAGGGAGACATCCTTATCACCAGAGACAGGGAATTTGGGGTTGAGAAATCCATACAGATAAACCTTGTTCAACTAACCCTTGCCTTCCTAGTTACTTCTTCACCACTAACCAACCCTAGCCCAAACCCCTCTGTCTTGTCAATTCCTCACAAATTTATTGTTTCTTTCTCTAAAAGGTATAAAAGCTTCCTGTTCTGGTCACTTCTTCAGGTCTTCATTCTTTCATGATGGCTCGTAGGTACATGTAAAAATTCAATAAAATTTGTATGCTTTTCTCCTGTTAATCTGGCTTGGCAGTTTAACTTTCAGACCCAGCCAGGGACCCTAAGAAGCTCAAGGAAAACTTCTTTTTCCCCTACACCAACTAGCCCCTATACCCACCCAGGCAAATTCTTTTAGATGAAGGAACCTAACAGGAAAATGTGTGATCGAGTAGATCAACCAGATCAAGTAGATCTGGTTTATGAGCCAGACACACATTTGGCAAACAGGGCTGTGGGTCACACACTGATTTTAAAGAGTTCTTTTTTCCACATTTTCTTCTTCCCTCCGTCCCTCTCTCCCTCCTTGCTACCCACTATCCCCAGCATGCTGGTTCTACAACCCAACTCTGGGTCATGTCTGTAGTACTTCCTGTCACTGGCCTTAGAATATATTTGGACCAGAAAGCACTAAAATCCGCTAAGAGAGAGAGAGTGCAAGAACCCTGCTGTGGTTCTGAGGAATCAAAATAAAGCTTCCAGGATTTAAACAAAAAAATGTATGGATGCTTTTTACCCTGTAGGTGGTGACCACTTACGCATAGTGTGGTTGTGTGGACAGCTGTCTCTTTCCTTCTCTTGCTTTCAGTCATTTCCTTTGTGAAATCCAGGGGATGGTCTCCGACTTCCAAGGACCCTTGTATGTTTGACATTCTATGGTTGTTATAGCGCCTACTAGAGCTAAACAGCAATGAATTATTGAACAGTAAGAGGGAAAATATACTCCAACTGAACCAATTAACACTAGGGATGTTTTAAATATACCTTTTGGCTGCACATTTTTCTATATATGTGCTGATAGCAGTGCCATTTGCATTCTAATGCTGGCTTGTCCCTGCCGTGCTAAGAGATAGATGAATCTCTCATTCTTTTGGTGTTTTAATTTCCTCAGTGGTTAAAGCAAGGATGATACATCTAATCTACCTTTCAGAATTTCTGAGTGGATTATAGCAAAACCTTTCATAGTCTTTTTGGCTTAAAAGATTTCTCTCTGAACCGTATTTGTGTTTTCATATTCTGTTTTTCCCAAACAGTCATCAATAGGATTCACAAAGGAAATATATCCATATAATTGGATTAATTTCCCTAAGTCCTTAGATGATCCCAAAATGTTTGGCCGTGACTAATCAATGAATTTGAATTTTTGGCAAATGGCAATCCTTATGTACATGCTTCAAATATCTACTCTTTTCTCCACAGTCTGGGCAGTCTGGTTTAACTAATTGTGAGAAGATAAATGTTAATATTCAACAGTATTAAAATACTGCTTTGTTGGACTAAAATTTCCCTGATGACACAAGAAATCAAGATGCAAAAATTCCATGTGGATGCCAAAGCATGAAGTATAACAAATTCTATAAAATCATATTGAAACTGAATACCGAAGTTGGCAATGATCTTACAATGAAAAAACTAATGAAAAGGCTTAACTTTATAGACTAGGAAAGGAGGAAATAAAATTTCCTGAGGACCAGAGGTATGGTGCTAATTCCTTCACTGCAGTAGCGCATTCAGTCTTCAGCATAGTTTTCACCTCAGAATAATCCGAAGGCCAGGAAGGTGAAGTAACTCACCCAGATACAGTGGTTATGGCCATGATCAAACCTCAGATTCTCCATCAGATGGCTTCGTTCAGAGATCGAGTCAAAACCTCTAATTCTACTTCAGTAGCAAATACTAACAAGCTGACCAACAAATTTTCCCCTCTGGGAGAACCACCTCCTGGTAGAAAGCTTGTACAGAGACAATTGGGGAGTGGTAAGACTACCTGTGTGCCCCTCTTTCGGGAAGACACATCACCCTATATGTAGACAAACATCAGGCTTATTCCAAATACACATCATATCACTGAGATCAGAACTTATAATAATCATGCCGTAAAAATAACAGCTTCAATTTATTGAAAATTTATAACATGTCAGGGACTTCAAAAATGTTATTTCAAAGCCTCATGTAACCTTTAAAGGTAAATATTACAACCTCATTTTACAGATAAAGTAACTGAAGCTTAGACAGGCAAATGATAATGACAATTCTAATAAAAAATATTTGTAGGGGCTGGCCTCGTGGCTGAGTGGTTAAGTTCACGCACTCTGCTTTGGCGGCCAGGGGTTTCACTGGTTCGGATCCTGGGCGCAGACACGGCACCGCTCATCAGGCCACACTGAGGTGGCGTCCCACATAGCACAGCCAGAGCGACCACAACTACAATCTATAACTATGTACTGGGGGGCTTTGGGGAGAAGAAATAAAAAAAAGAAGATTGGTAACAGACGTTAGTTCAGGTGCCAATCTTTAAGAAATATATATATATTTGCATAGAATTTACAATGTACTAGGTCCTTTCTTCCATATTACTTATATCTTACAGATAATAACATCTAATATTCATAATAACTCTCCAAGGTAAGTATTAGCATCATACCCATTTACCATATGGGAAACGGACATACAGAGAGGTTAAAGAACTTCCTGAAACCTAGGCAGTTTGGTTCCAACAGCCAGGCTCTTAAGCACTCATCCAGAAAGCAAAGGGCTGAAGAAGGATTTGAACTTTGGACTTGGACTCCAAAGCCAGCATTCTTTCTAAGTCTTCATGTTTCCCAGCTTTGGCTGCTCATTAAAACAATTTGGGGAGCATTTGGGGAGAAGGACTTCCATTGAAGGGCTGTGATCATTTCATTATGCGTGCAAACTGAAGGAGTTTTCGGTTGAATCGCCTACTTTTTCCTAAGTGTCAGTGAATCTTAAGGGTTGAAGAGTACCTTTCCTCTTGCTTGGAATGAAAATTCTCATCAGCTCTCAACTGATTCATCAGTCGACTTGTGGGTAGGCACTAAGGCAGGGCCTGAGCCCATTGCCACTGGCCCCAACCTAAGCATGGCTGCCAGTAACCAGGGTCAGAAAACCTGCATGGGTTCTGCAGGAATGCTTTTATGCCCTGAGATAAAGTTTTGATCTATACTACCCTTAGCTTTTCACTTTGACAAACACATATTAGTTCCAACTGTGGGCAAAATGCTATGAAATACTATGGTGGGCACTTTGGGGAACTCAGATTCCTTGTCTAAAAGAAAAGCCCAGTCTAGCAGGGGAAATATAAATATTGGCAGCTAAGTCGAATTCATATGATAGTACTAGGGAGCCCCTTTGGCTCTGTACCTAAGTTCAGTTTCTGCTATGTGTGAGAAAATTTGAACGGGTTCAGGTACACTCTGGGGGTCAAATCAAGGCACATAAAGGTGAGATATGGGGTCTTACAATGTGCTTTACTCTCATAAATAAGCTTAGACAATGCTGTGTGCTTTTAATGTACCCTGGGGAATTAGGCAAATCATCATTATTGTTGTTGCTATTTTATTCTCCATCTATGAGTTTATAGCACCTTCTCTTCAGTGGTTTGTGTCCCTGAGAGCAAAATAAACTCAACATTTTCTTCTTGCAACCTCTCATGAATATTAATGCTGTCTTTATTTATTGTTTGGCAAAATATGACAAAAATAAAAATGCACTACAGCGAAAAAGAACATGCATACGCCAAAAATATCTAGCTACTGTCAGAATACTTGTGTCATCATCATTATCAATAAATGCACACTTGACAAGCATGCTCCATACACTGCATCATCCCACAATTCCTTCTAACCACTGACCTTTCTTAAAGGGTCTCACTGGTTCTTTGGTCGATACTTGTAGAACTCCTATTAATTTGAAAGTTGTACAGTTTTGTCATACTGAAACTAGAAACATGGAGTTCAGTAATAATCGGGCAAGGAGATTTATAAGAGCAGTCATCCAGAAACAGACTTTTAGAGCCTCAGAATCTTCCCTCAAAGAGCTTCATACCCAGAAGCTCAAAGATATAAAACAGACAAAAGTAGAACTGTTCTGCTTGAAAGGGGGGTAGTGATAGAGTCCTACCTGTTCACACGTATCCTCACATCCTAGAGCAGCAGAAGCAACTCCACTGAGCCCTTTGAGTTCTGCACATCACACTTGGATAGGCACCGATCTAGTCCATTGTATAGATGCAGGACCAAAGTACCGAGGCAATTAAAGTAGCTGAGGCCACAGAATTACTAATTACAGAGCTGGAACTAGCATTCCTATACCTTCTGTCCTAGTCCAGCAATCTTTTTACACTACTTCCTGCTTGTCATCTACATAGTTCAATTTGAAGGAAGGAAAGCAGGGCCATGATTAGAAACATTACCATGACAGTCTGTTTTCCAATGTTGGTAAGTTAGAACTCGTCTGAGGTTTGTCAGATATTCCTGGGATAACTATTGTGTGTTGGACCAATAAGTAAAACGGACAGCAAGATGTCTATCCTGTGTTCTTAGACTTGGAATAGAACATATGAAAATCCTAGTAACTGAAAGCTTTGGCAGCCAAAAGAGAGTCTGGCCACACTGAGAACCTAAGCAAGATTCTAGATAGTATATGGCTAGGCTCTTCTCTAGTTCAATCTTACTCCTAAGAGTAGTGTTGAATTCTATAACCTAGCTGATGCCATTGAGCCACTTTGATAAAACTCTGTTCAAGGACACAAAAAATTCTAAAGGCTGGCGGTATTTTGTTGCATACGTATTCATTTGATTCAACAAAAGACAAACATTACCTAGCAGAATAGATCTAATATCATTGTCACCTGTTTGCAGCCTGGGTTTAAACAAATCCCTCAGGAGCTATATGATTAATTGAGCTTTCGAGAGCCTTAGAGGCTATATTGTAAATTAGTGACACAGTCATGATTTGAACTATATCTTGATTCCCAGTCCAGTGTTGTTTGCCCAAGTTGCTTCATAATCTATGTTCTTCTCCTTCTTATAGGAGATATTAGCTGATATTCAAGATAGCAAGGAATCCCTAAGTGTTTTCTTATTCTCTCTTAAAGAGAAGACTAGATCCTTAATCTAACCACAACTATAGTAGGATTTTCTCTCTATAAAATGTTCTTGAGCAATTACTCTTCCTGGTAACCTTCAACAATAGCAGAATTTATCTGAAGGCAATTAGAATTATTTTGTCATAAATATCCTTCTATTCTTCATGCTGAAAGGTTAAAAAAACTATGTAAATATTTCACATAGTATGATAGAAAGATAAAAATAAACTGATAACATACATCACTGTTGTTAAAATTGTAAAAGGCTGTATAAATTTATGATCTGGTTATTACTTGTATTATTACTGATATTGGTCACATCTTGTGAATCATAATATTGGATACTTAGAATTCTATTATATACAATACTGGATAAATATGGAGACACAGGGCCAGAGAGAGAATCCCAAGTGACTCCTTCCTCTTCTGGAAAGACTAAACATACCTATTGGGTGTAATTCATTCCTCAAGCTACCCAAGAAAGTGGAGAATCTCGCCTTTCTTCAAGAATCAATTCTCAGATATTACAGAAAACAGCAGATTAAGGAACTCCAAAAGTTTGTGCCTTCATGAAAGCAATGAAAAATATGGCAAAAACTGTTGGAAGCAACCTGTCAGAACTCTAGAACCTAATCAAGAGCTTGCATCAATCCAGATAATATTTAATAAAACAAACAAGCAACAACAACAGAAAACCTGGCTAACTCTCAGTTAGAAGTGAGAACTTGTGTCTTAATTTACCATAGTCCTATCCCCCAATACTCAGCTTAATAGCGGCCTTGAAAATAACAGCCCACATTCTGAGTACCAATACCTGAGGGAGCAGGATGGAACACATTAGCAAAAAATTCTTCTCTGGTCTGTCTCATGGCTCCCTGGAAGACCTACTCAAAAGGCCTATCTTTATTTCACCTAATTGGGAACTTGCCTAGTGCTAAAGCTGGAGACTTTGTCAAAAACATTTCCAGGAGAATGTTCTAATCTCTGCTTTAGCCTTTACTTCCTGGTTGCACAGAGCCTGCATGTCATACAGAGATGAGAGCTTTGGGCCTTCTCGGGTCTTTTCTGAGCTTGTGCATAGCCCCAGGCTCGCATATGACCTTCAAGAACCCCAGAAAATGTCAGAGTTTTTCAAAGCCCTTATTTTCCAAAGCATCTGGTTCCCAGCCCTTCCTCCCAAGTGTTTTGGTTAGTAAATACTATCTACATAGCACAGAAAAATGAAACACTTAGGCATAAATCTAAGAATATATGTATCAGATATATATGAGGAAAACTAAAAACATGCTGATGTCAGGAATCAAAGAAGAGCTAAGTAAATGAAAAGATAGTTCACGTTGTTGCACAGGAAAATCCAGTATCATTAAGATATCAGTTTTTCCCAACTTGACCTATAGATTCAAGAAAAAACAAAATCCTAGCAAGTTATTTTGTGAATATTGACAAACTGATTCTATAGCATAAGGAAAGGCAAAAGACTCAATAGCACACAATACTGAAGAAGAACAAAGTCCAAAGACTGACACTACTTGACTCCACAACTTACTGTAAAGATATAATGATCAAGACAGTGTGGTATTGGTGAAAGAATAGACAAAAAAAAATCAGCAGAACAGAATATAGAGCCTAGGAATAGACCCATGCAAATATAGTCAACTGATCTTTGACAAAGGAGCAAAGGCAATTCAATGGAGAAAAGACAGTCATTTCAACAAATGGTGCTAGAACACCTTGATACACACATGAGAGAATGAAGCTGGACGTGAACCTCACATCTTTCACAAAAACTAACTCAAAACGGATTGTGACTTAATTGTAAATCACAAAAGTATAAAACTCTAGAAGATAATGTAGGAGAAAATCTGGGCGATCTTGGGTTTGGCAATGAGATTTTCGACACAACACCAAAAATTTGATTTATATTTTATGAAAGAAAAAGTTGATTAAGTTGAACTTCATTAACATCACAAACCTCTACTCTGTGAAAGACACTGTTAATAGAATGTAAACACAAGTCATAGAGTGGGAGATAATATTTGCAGAATACATATCTGATCAAAGATTTGCATCTGAAATACATAAAGAATGCTTAAAACTCAACAATAAGTAAACAAACAACCCAACTAAAAAAC